GTCATTTGTGGTATGGGGGAAAAAAACAACCTGAGCTATTGGGGCAAAGAAAAGTAAAATATTTCCCCCTGGGAGAAGAATTCTGATTACAATCTTTCTCTCTACCACTGAGCTACTCCCACAGCACTAGGTAGTAGCATAAACACACACACACACACACACACACACACACACACACACACACACATATGTAGAGAGAGAATGCATAGCACAGTAGGTAGGGCGTTTTGCCTTGCACACACTGACCAGGATTCGATTCCTCCGTCCCTCTCTGAGAGTCTGGCAAGCTACTGAGAGTATCCTACTCACATGGCAGAGCCTGGCAAGCTCCCCATGGCATATTCAATATGCCAAAAACAGTAACAAGTCTCACAATGGAGATGTTACTGGTGCCCTCTCGAGCAAATTGATAAACAGTGGGATGACAGTGCTACATATATTATATATATTTTAAGTAAAATCTTTGATCAAAATGAAACCTGACAATGCAGTTTAATTGTTTATGTGATGATTTTTTGTGAATGGAACTTCAAAGCAAGGAAGGGCAGACCATTTTTAAATCTTTGCTTTCTATGTCTTTGCTTTCTGTCTGAGGCATCTCCAAAGAACCAAGTTGCAGGAAGTATAGAAAGACAGACATGGTTACTTCTCGACTTTACCCTCCTGCAGTGGAATAGAAAAGCAGAATTCCCTGCAGCTAATAGGAGATGCTCAGGACCATTTTTTAGGCAGTTTTCCCATCAGCTGATTTCTCAGGTTCCAAGAGCTTGAAAATCTACCTAAGAGTCTGTTTGCAACCTCCCCCACCCAATGTTTCAAGAAAGTGTCATCTCCATTGTGAACAGCAATGGGGTCAACTCAGCTACTACAGAAACATTTTCTGAGGTGCCTGCAACTCAGAGTTTAGAGGCACTGTCATTATTTTAGTTAAAATAAAAATACTCCTAGACTCAGGCAGTACCTGCCGCTGAGTGGTTAAGAAAAGATCATATGAAATTGCAGCCCTAAATTCTCTTTCTGAAAATGCAGGGATATCAGTCTATATTCATGGCAGCACTCACTAACTCAATTGCTTTCATTAAACTCAATAATGGTTGCTCTGAAAAATTAGGCATTTGCAGCAGCATGGATGGAACTAGAGGATAGTAGGCTGAGTGAAGTCAGTCAACAGGATAGGGATAGACACAGAATGATCTCTCTCATGTGTGAGATTTAAAAGGTAAGCAGCAAGGTAGCAACAAAGATCCAGATGCAACATAATGGGAAAACTGATCCACACAACCGAGTTTTGGGGTAGGGGAGGGTTTCAAAGGAAGTGGGGTTGGTATCCTTAGGAAAGGGAGGTGGGTTCATTGGTGTGGGTGTGGTGTTGGAAGTATGTGCATGAAAAGCCATTATTAGTGGTATTGTGAACCACAGTATCTCAATCAATAATTTCTTTTTTTAAAAAATAATGTTTTTCCTAGGCTTCATGTCTGTGCTCCTCTCCTATGATTTATAGCTTGTAATCCTACCCCCATGTAAGTGTATTAGCAGATAAGACCTTCAGGAGGTAACTAGGTCATGACTGTGGAACTCTCATCAATAGCATTTGTGTCTTTAAAGAAAGACACACACAGGCTTGACCCTCCACCCCATCAAGTAAAGTCAGGAAAAGATGCTCATTTGTAAACTTAGAGAAATATATCAATATCTCATCAGAACCTCACTTTAATAGCACAGATATCTGACTTCCCAGCCTCCTCAACAGCGAGAAATAAATTTATATTTAACACACCCAGTCTATGTATTGTGGTATAGTCCTAATTAAACTTAAAATGAGACAGTGTAAATAGTTGGATCACGGTCACTGTCCTCCTGCAGTTCATCGATTTGCTCGAGTGGGGCCCAGTAACGTCTCCAGCATGAGACTTGTTGTTACTGTGCTTGGCATATCGAATACGTCACGGGTAGCTTGCCAGGCTCTGCCGTGAGGGCGAGATACTCTCGGTAGCTTGCCGGGCTCTCCGAGAGGGGCGGAGGAATCGAACTCGGGCCGGCCATGTTGGCCGCTTGTAAGGCAAATGCCCTACTGCTGTGCTATCGCTCCAGCCATAGTTGGATAATTTTGTGAATATGCTTTATGCTACAGAATGGTAGAAATTGTGCACTTGATGTTATGTGTATTTTAACACAATGACAGTAGTGGTAACTGACCAGCTCTCTATGTTTCCCTCTTTCCTAAAGATCAAGTTTAAGCTTCCTGGGAGAGGGCTGGAGTGATAGTACAGAAGCTAGAGTGCTTGTCTTGTATGCAGCTGGTCAGGTTTGATACCCGGCACCCATATGTTTCCTTTAGCCCACCAGGAATTATCCCGTAGTGCAGAGCCAGGATTAAGTGCTGAGTACTGCTGGATTTTGTCCAAACTCCACCGCTACCACCACACACACATAAAAATAAACATCCAAGGAGAGAACCAGAGAGCTAGTTCAACAAGTGAGCACATGCTTTGCATGCGGGAGGTCCAGGCTCTATCCTCAAGGTCCCCTGAGCACCACTAAGAATTACTTTTAAGCACAGAGCTGGGAGTAGCCATCAAGTAAGGCCTTACCCCCTCCCCCAAATAGTAAACTTCCTGAATAGTATATGGTTTGGCCCCCTGATTATATCTTGTTTATCAAGTCTTCTTGTCCCAACCCCTTTATCTGATTCAATTTCCTAGTCATTCCAAACTTCTCTTCATTGCTTAACAAGCCAACTAATTTTGCTTTTCTATTCTCACTGATAATTTTGCTTTTGTTAGTAATAACATTTGAAGGCAGTGCATCTGCATATATGCACATATATCTGCAAGACTGTTGAGTCTTTCAATTCTTACCAACTCTATGATATAGATGCTACTATTAACTTCATAGTTGAGGAAATTGAGGCAAAGAAATTAACTTGTTCAAAGTCACACTAGTAAGGTTGGATAAGGCAAGGTGTGAATCCTGGTATTGTTCCTCACTAATACTGGCTACTAAATAAAACATGGCCTGTGGCATCTTCCACTGAGTTCCTCTTTCCCTTTAAAACCTGGCTGAATATCTCCATTGTGAAGCCACAAGTTCCTCTTTAGGAAAAGGTGTCACTCTCTTTTAGGCTCAGTAGTACTCTGCATGCACTCCCATATTTTGCAATGTATTTCAAATTGTGTGGTTATAACCTATTTGTGAGTCCAATTCTTTACTAACAGGTAAGACTCAAGAAGACAGAGCAGGTCTTACTTGTCTGATAATCTTGGTTACCCACTCTTGTTTGTGATAAATGAAGGAATGGCTAGTTGTATTTTCTCTTAATTTATCAACAAATAACAAAATCTTACCTTCTTTCAGAACATCTGGTATAACTGTTCAAGTCTTGCTACAACTAATAATCGCAACTAATATCCTCTGTGTATATGCAACAAGTCCATTCTAATTTACTTTCAATGGTCCACATTAAAAATAAATAATTGCTTACAGTTTTTAGCTATGAAATCATAGTATATTTGAGATATAAAATTAGAATGAAAATTCTGATTTTTCAAACTCAAAGTGCTTCCCTTGAGAAAATGACTATATCTTTTAATTGCTTAGACTGATTGGATAGGATAGATAGGTGAAATGGAATAATGTTTACATAGATGAGAAGTATAAATGAAAAGTGGATGGATGTGTGCATGGATAAGGGGATAGATGAGCAGACTGGACTGGTATTGGATAGATGGACAAAGGATGGTACATTGATCATTGTATGGATGTGTACATTATACAAAATATGCAGGTGGGCAGATGGAGAAGAGGCGATTGGACAGATGGATGTGGGTTTGTAATAATTTGTGGAAACGGATGTATGGAAAGATGGATGAGAAGTTTAGGGGAGGGTGGTTGGAAGAATATGTAGCTGGATAGATGATAGATGAAAGGATGTGGTTGGATCAATATTAGTGCTTGATGAATGAACAAGAAGACAGATTTGTGAGTCTTGAGAGGATTGATGATGGCTCAGTGTTTGAGTGGATTGCAATGTGTTTGAAAGGATGGGGAAGTGTGGATAAGCAGAAGGAAGAATGGGAGGGTAGGGGAAAAAGCAGGGAGGGCATTTGCCTTGCACACTGCCAACCTGGGCTAGATCCTTGGGATCCCATATGGTCCCCTGATCACCACCAGGAGTAATTCTTGAGCGCAAAGCCAGAAATTACTATTGAGCATCAGTGGATGGGTATGGCCCAACCCTAAATCCCCCCTCCCCTCAAAAAAAGAATAGGTGGATAAGATAAATAAACTGTGAGATTACTGGAGGATGACTTACGGATTGGTGGACTCAAATACCAGCCCACGGACTGGTATTTGTCATTAACTTCCTGTGACAGTGCTGAGAGTAAGCACATGTCCACCGGTGAGCTTTCCACCTGAGCTTTGGTGGACTCCTGCCTGCTGCCTTCTCTTTCAAGGGACCAAAGAGCTCATCCTGGATGCCTGGGGAAGAACCACAAATACTCCTCCTTCCCACCAGGCGCCTTCCCCTGAGACAGGACCTGCCAAGGAAGGACCCAGTTGCCCGTGAAACCAAGAGAATCTTAGCCCAGCAGAGAGGCCCTTTAGCAGAGGGGAGATTCCCGAGGCTGATCCCAAGGGGTGAGGTTTCAGGAGCCAGTCACTCTCCCCTCAGGGCTCTCCCCCTTCCCCGCCCCCCTCCTACCCCCGGGCTAGCCCGGATTTACCAACCCGGTGATGAACGGGGCGGGGGCTAGAGGAGGGGGAAGAGCCGGGAGGGCTGGTACGTCTTTAAACCTCTGCCGCTTGCTTAGTCACAGCCCCCTTGCTTGGGTGTGTCTTTCCCTCGCTCGGCTCCCTCCCTCCCTCCCTCCCTCCCTCCCTCTCTTAGGTCACTCTTTCAGCCCTCGAATAAAAACTGCCGCCAACTTCCGAGGCGCTCTCATTGCCGGCCGGACCCCTGCCTCTGACAGGTTCGGGTCGTCCTCCTCGCCCCACCCTCTGTACCACCAGCATCCCCCCAGCCACTTCGTCCTCTGCCCAACGCATCCCGACCCGCGACCCCTCCAAGCTGCACTTGGCTCCACTCCGCTCAGTTCGCTTCGGTTCCCGCTCCAGACCATGGACCAGTTTTGGTGGCGCGCCGCGTGGGGACTCTGCCTCGTGCATCTGAGCCTGGCACAGATCGGTGAGTGCCCGCCGCCGCCGCCGCCGCCGCCGGCGGGACAGCGGGAGGGGTAACTGGAGTGGCCGCGGGCAGCCGCACCAGCCGGGCGCCCCGGAAGGCTTGGCTGCCAGATCCCGCTGACTTGGGGAACGAGCCCAGCGGCCAGCCCGCGGCTCGAATTTGTTCCGGAGAACCGGCGGCGTAGGATTTGCGCTCCACGCTCGGAGAGTTGCTTAGTGGGAAGCGGCTTTGGAGTGAGAAAAGCAAAAAGAAGAAAGTTGTCGAGGCAGGCAGCCGTTCGGGGGCCAAGTGGCCAGAATCCAGAATCCAGGGCAGAAAGGAACGCTACTCCAGGGTTCTTGGTGTGCTACTCCGGAGCCCTGGGGCTGGGTCCCGACTGGGCACAGGGCAGGGGCTGCAAGTGCCCCGTGCCAGTGGGGGCTTGTGGAAGGAATTCCTGTGCTCCCACCCACCCGGTCCAAACAGCTCCTGGTCCAAAGCGCCCCCTTACAGTTGGCTCCACTCACAGCCTACCTTAGCGCCTGTGGAATTTGAACCACATTCTGGTGTCCACGAGGTACCGCCGGGACAGTGAGCTGGAAAGGCAATGACCGGGCAGCAGCGCAATCTTTTTTTAAAAAAACCCTCCTGCTTCTGCCAATCAGTTAGGGGAGATCCAAACAGCAAGGTGGCTCTTATTCCCTGCCTGGCAGCCTAAGAGTGTGTAGGGGCGAGGGGAGGAGGAAGGTGGTTCCGGGAGCTGCAGAGGCGCCTCAACACCAGGGTGGTATAAGGGAACCTGGTGTCCAGGCAGCCCGTACTCCATCCAAACCTAAGTGTGTTGAGGTGTTCCGGGAGAGCTAAACTCCGAGCCTTCCTTCCTTTTCTTTGTCTCTCTATGTACAGATAATTACACGGCCCATTTGCTTATCGCTGACAAAAATTAATTTTTCTTTCAAGAAGTGCCAGCTGGGTCATTAAGACAGCTCAGCCTATGGTTAGTTCCACTCCACAAAGTATTTACGGAACTTGGCTCCAGGGGTCCCAAGAAAGTCAATGAAACAATTCAATATTTCCCATGTTGCTCCCACACAGGGCCTGGGCTTTGTCAGAGTAAGTGAGTGAGTCTGTGTGAAAGGCCTGGACCATGTGGGAAGGGATATCCGGGAAGGAGAGGCAGAAAGGGTTCAGAGCTGCCCTCCCCGCTCCCGGGGGTGGTCAAAAAGGACTGGAAGGGACTGCTCTGGAAAAGGAGAAGTGCTCAGGGTGGAAGAGGAGTAGAAAGGAATGGAAAGAAAGGCCTTCCCTGGGTCTGGACTCTGGAGAAGTGGATTTGCCCTGTGGCATCCACGGAAGTCTATTCCCCCAGGACCTTCTGCTTTGCTTCCAATCTCCCAACACCTCCGGAACAGTTTCTGGGATGGCTCTGGCCCGCCCTCAGGCCTTGGCTGGTCCTGACCTTGAGGTTCTTCCCGGGACTGATAGGCAAGCTCACTCCTGCCTCCTGAGCTTTCCTGGTTGCTGTGGAGGAAGCCCAGAAAAGTACCGGTAGAAATCAAAGCCTGGGCAGCTTTCATGTGCTTGTAAAGTTGTTTGGAAGGAACTGAGACTTGGAAAGAAGACACGGACTGGGCGGACCTGGGGGGAAGGAGCAAGAGAGGCAGGGAGGAAAGGGCCTTGGTTGTGCCCTGCTGGACAGTGGTGGGCTCCAGGGGGTAATGCTTGGGAGCAGGAACAAAGGGCCCCCTCTAGGGATAGGAAAGCAAAATGTAAAGAAAGCCAGAGGTAGTCAAGAGAACCCCCCCCCCCCCCCCACTATGCACACACCCCTGGCTTTGTAGAAATACATCAGTCTAGGTGTTAGGGGGAAGGGGGGGGGGGGGAGGGCTGGAAAACTTGTGGGATAAGCCCTGGAGCTGAGAGGTCTTTGTTAGAAAATTGCATCTTTGGTGTTGAAAAAATTTTGAGAGATCTGCAGGCTTGGGAATGACTTGCCTCTTGAAGAAGCAGGAAGCAAAACCCCATTGCAGATTCTAAGACTAGATCAGTTAATTCAGTTACTCCCCGGATATAATTGGGGCTTCCCCTTCCTTCCAAGGCTCAGGGCCAAAGAGGTGTATTTGAGGCTGATAGCCAGAAGGAAATGGTTCCATTTCCTTCCCCAAACGCCCCACAGCCATGTAAAGTTAAGCAGTTTGACATTCTTCACTGAGGACAGATCCTTTTCCATTCATACAGGAAGCACTACTTGATTCATTGTCACAAACTCAGATGTGGGGATTGTTTAGAAAAAAAAGCCTCTTCTTGGCTGGGTGGGATGAGGTGGGGGTGGAGGCTCATCCCACCTTCTCCAAGGAAACAAACCCTGAAAGAAAGGGAGGTTATTAAGGGGTGGCACTTCCAGCCTGCAGGGCTTTGCTGTACCCCACAAGGTGAGCAATGGATTCCCCCTGTACCAATGGATACTGACTTCACCAGTGCATAGTTGTGTGAAGTTGGGAAAGATCTGGGGAGAGACAGTCCAATGGATACTGGGTGGGGATGGAGTGCTCACTCTGGGCCACCGTATTTGCTTCATGCCTCAAAAAACTGCAGTGGGAGGATCAGAGCAATAGTAAAGCCAGGTAGAGCCTTGTATGCTAATCAACCCGAGTTCTAACCTAGACTACTACCAACTTAGGTTCAATCCCCACCACCCCACTTGGTCCCCCAAACCCTACCAGGAGTGATTCCTGGCACAGCACCAGGAATAAGCTCTAAGCACTGCCAGGTGGGGCTCCTTAACAAAAAAAAAAAAAAAAGAAAGAAACAAGCAAAACTACAGTGGGGCTGGGGAAGTAGTGTAGCTGGTAAGGTGCTTGCCTTGATGCTGCCAACTCAGGATTGATGCTCAGCACCCCATGAGCACTGACAGGAGTGAACCCTGAGCTCACCTGTGTGTGTCCCAAACCCCACCCCCCAAAACAACAACAACAACAACAACAACAAAAACAAAAACAAGAAAACCCAAAGTATCGTGGATTTAAGTACCTTAGAGCCAGCCCAGGGGGCTGGAGCAATAGCACAGTGGGTAGGGCGTATGCCTTGCATGAGGCTGACCTGAGTTCGATTCCCAGCATCCCATATGGTCCCCTGAGCGCCGCCAGGAGTAATTCCTGAGTGCAGAGCCAGGAGTAACCCCTGAGCATCGCCGGGTGTTACCCAAAAAGCAAAAAAAAAAAAAAAAAAAAGAAAAGCTAGCCCAGACACCGAAAAAGGCAGTGAGGGTTTAGGCCCCGCTAGCTTATAGAAGCCTCCAAATACCTCTAGACACTTAGCTCCTGCTTCAATCCCTGTTTCAGCAAAGAAGTGGAAACTGGGCAGATGGTAGATCTTTCCCGACTTCACACAAATAGGCAGTGGTGAAGTCAGGGTGGTCCATTGTTGAGCATTCTCCCACATTAGACTCCAAAGTCTGTGCTCCTTTGTTCTTTCGCCTCTGGAGAACTTGGAAAATTATGTGTGGGCAGCAACCACAAAGCCGGACCCGAAGGGCTCCTCTGGCCTGGCAGACTGTGGACTCGAAGCCACCCCACTCTGCCCTGACCTGGCCTGTCTCTCCCCAGACTCAGCTCCAGCTGTCAAGAGCAGTCAACCTAGTTATTTGTTCCTAAAATAAGTCATTTCCCTTATCGGAGTCCAGCTACCCTTCTAGACATGCTCTCATTTGCAGGCTGGGGCGAAAAGGGAGAGGTTGTTTCTCAGCAGAGACAAGTTAGGGCAATGCCCACTGCCTGCCCAGGCTCGGAGACTGACCTGCAAGCCCGCGAGAGGCATCGATGCATTTCGCTCCTCTCCGCCTCAAAGGGCGCCCTCAGTGCTTAGCAGCTTGTCTGCGCCCAGGGAGGGAAAAGACTGGGGGGATTCCACATGGGGAACAAACATGGTTCCTTGAAAGTCAAGGATCTTGAACTCAAAGCCAGCATGGAACTCATGGTGATCTGTGACTCCCCCCCACTTCAGTGATTTTTTTTTAGATCTGCCAGTTGTGTCACATGGGCTTCCCTGATTGACTGGAGTTGGGGTGATTGTAAGCTGAGATTCCCCAAGGTCCTTCTGCACTGGGGTGGGAGCTGAGTTGTGGGTGCAGTGTTTCTTGTCACCTCCATGTTAGCTAACTACCTCATATGAGTTTCAAAGGGAAATGTCCCTTGTCGAAGAAGCAGGTGACAGATGTTAGGCAAAGACTCCTTCTCAAAGGGGATCTCTTCTGTCATGGAAAGAAATTCTGTGGGTTGTTTCATGGTGAGAAGTGGATGAGTCAATTTCCTTTGTGCCCCTGTTGGGAAGGGAAGTACACAAGTGTTCTTAAGACCAAGAAAGTCTAGTAGTGCCTACTTCAAATTTCAACCCTACTTTTCACTCATTTAACTACTTGAAATTTTTCTTAAAGAGTACACTCTCCCCCAAATGGGGTGCTTTCTAAAATTTGTATTGCAAAGTTTAGCATGGTGGCAATGATGCACCTTCTAGATTTTCCAACAGAATCAGAATTTTGAACATACATATGCACTAATTAATTCACAGTGTATGATTTGACTAATCTTTATGTATTTTACTGTAAACAAATGCATGTGATTCAAAGTCCAAACTTGATAAGAAATTTTTGCAGGAATAACTTTCACATCTTGGATTATCTATTGGTTGATTAAATTGATATTGAGGGCCTAGAGGGATAGTGCGGATGGATTAAGATGCTTCCCTTGCATACTGCTGACCTAGGCTCAATCTTCAGCATTCCGCATCATCTTTAGGCATGAATGGGAGTGACCTCTGAATATAGAGCCAGTAGGACTGTCTGAGCACTGCTAAGTGTGGCCCATGCCCCCATAAATAACAAATTGAATAAATAAATTGTCAAAATGTTTGTATCTTGGTAAGAAATATTTAATACTATTCCATCTTCCATTTATTAATCACATCAAATTATGAAATGCCAGGAGACGCTTCTCATTTGGTTTTTACTTGGACATTTACATTTT